TTTTTTTTTTTTTTGAACACACAAGGCCAGTATCCAAGGAGTGCCCATTTGAGTGTTTAAAGTGGGCCTGGCGAAGACTGCTGGGTGTTCGGTTGCTTCCATGTGGGCACAGAGCAGCTCCCAGATGGGCTAGGTCCTTGTTGGTTTTGGTTGAGGCTGGGCTATAAGTTTGCTGGTCAGCGGCAAGGAGGGTGCAGAGCATTGAACTCAGTGTAGACCGTGGTTTATTGCTGTGCTTCTGTACGCCACTCATTTGTGACGTGGTGTGGGTGTTTTGTTCTGTGAATGCTCTTTGTCGAAATCCGTTAGATATTTCTATGGTGTGGGGTCTTGTGGTTGTTATATAATAAAAATTTAAAAACCTGTACCCACTATTTGAGCACCTAAAGAAGCTTGCATTTGTAAGCTGATTGCCAGTATGGGAATTCTAGGTTTGGGGCCCGGAGTTTTGTTGTCAGGTTCCAAAACATGTGGATCGGATCATGTGGAATTGAAGCTGTAATGACTCTGAGTTCAGAACCTGTCCTGATGTGTGCAAGTGGCTCACTTCCGTGGGTCCGGAGCAGCCCGCATGCTCGGACAATCTGAACCGCCCTGCTTTTCCGTGGTGGCTGGCACCTACTGCGAAGTCACAGAACCGAGTGACCTCTGACAGCTGTGGGGAAGGTGCAGGCCATGCGTGGAGGGCCCTCCCAGCTGGGAGGAAAGAAAGGCCCAGGGAGGCACCTCATCTTCCCGCCCTGCCTGCTTGCCCTTCAGCAATGACAGATGCTTCAAAAAAGGGTGCTCTTGGTGCCAAGCAGGCATTTGTGTTTCACAGAATGACCTGACTGGGGAACACTCGTGCATCATGCTGAAGACGCTGACTGATGAGGAGGACGCTGACCGGGGAGCGTGGCTCCCCGCCTTTTGGAAAGGTAAATTGGAGGGGAAGGGGGGCAGTGAGGTAGCAGGCCAGGGGCCCCCACACCTCTGACTGCGTGTGGTTGTACTCCACAGACTTCCGCAGGCGGTTCCTAGCCCTGCTGTCCTACCAGTTCAGCACCTTCTCTCCCCCGCTGGCTCTGAACATCATTCAGAACAAGAACATTGGGAAGCCGGCACAACCAGGTGAGCTGCGAGGGCCAGCGCGGAGGGCTGGTGGTGGCAGATCTTAGTATGTTCCGTGGGAGGAGGAGGTGAGGTGAGCGTGGTGGTCCAGGAAGAAGGCTGGCTTAGGAATTTCAGGAATTGAGGGATGGGTCCTAGGCCTGCATCTCCCACTGACTGCTGCCCCACCCCCGACCCCAGGCCCTGCTCTGCCTTAGGGGCACCAGCACCCATAGTACCTTCCATTTTTATAACAAAACTTTGGAGATATGATCTGACTTCAGATGTCAAATAGGGTCATACAGGTAGTTAATTATGGAACTTGATTTAAATCCTGTGAGCTAGCGTAACCAGCTCAGTTCTGAGGCTCCGTCTTCTCATTCATGACATTGTAATAAGAACGTGCGCCCAACCTTATGTGGCTAACACATGGACAGTGCTTTGGGCATATAAATTGTTTGAATATCTAAAATATTAAAAAGTGGATCCTTAGTATTAATAGCTGTAGGTTTTTTTCTGTTGCTCATTGTGTGTGTCCCTTTTTTTTTTTTTTTTGCCGATTATATTTTGTTGGAAAAAGTTGTGTTCTTTGAACTGGGCAGAGCACACACTTTCTGTGAAGCTGGGTCCTGAGAAGTGACACAGTGGGGAAGGAGTGTTTCCTTGGTCTGATGTGTTGGCATGGAACTCTGAGCAAGGGGTGCACCCCAGCCTTCCCCGCTCCCTGCGTGGCCTGGAGCTGCCTCCCCCCGTGCAGGACGAAAGTCAGGGCTGCCCAGGGCCGTGTGTTATGTCGGTGTGCAGGCGCTTTCAGGCGGCTCCTCTCCTGCTCTGGTTCAAGGCCCTGTGGAGGAGCAGCTGTGAGCGTGCCACCTGGGGACCAGTGTGTGTGTGATCTGGGAATCCCGTCAGACCTCGAGACCTGACCTGCCCTGACCTGCCCTGACCTGCCCTGACCTGCCCTGACCTGCCCTGACCTGCCCTGACCTGCCTGGCTCTGTTGCATGTACAGCGCTGCGCCGGGAGGAACTGGAAGCCCTTTTCCTCTCCTATGACCTGAAGAGGCTGGAGATGTACTCACGGAACATGGTGGACTACCATCTCATCATGGACCTGATCCCAGCCATCTCCCGGATGTATTTCCTCCACCAGCTGGGGGACCTGTCCCTGTCCGCTGCCCAGTCAGTAGGTTATCTGCTGCTTGTGTGCTGGGTGTTGGCTGGGACGCTCGGGTGCAATTTTGTGCATTTAATTCCTTGCGGTTCTGATAGGTGGGTAGTGTTCTCCCCATTTTACGGGTGGGGACACTTGGACTCGGAAGTCACTCATGTGCCCGGCCATAGCGTGTAGAAGAGCTGCGGTCTGAACCCACGCCCTTCCCACCCCACCATGTTGCCTTGATTCTGACTTGAACTTAGCAGAGGTCAGGGACACCGTGAACTTCTCGTGCAGCTCTGAAGCAGCTCTTGTCAGGATAATCAGTTTGCGGAGTTCAGGAAGGGGGAGCATTTCTTGGTGGTTTCAGTAATGGGATGAAAGAGAAGATGCCGGAAAAGTCCATAGTTCGTACCACATAGCTGTGGTCAAAAGAGTGACTGGTTCTTGGTGCCATTTTAATGGGCAAGGGCCTGTCCTGGTGGCCACATCAGATTTTACATCCTCCAGGCTCTTCTCTTGGGAATTGGCCTACAGCATAAGTCTGTGGACCAGCTGGAAAAGGAGATCGAGCTGCCTGCAGGCCAGCTGATGGGACTTTTCAACCGGATCATCCGCAAAGTTGTGAAGGTAGTATCAGCCAAGGGCAGGGTTTTGGTCAGTTTCAAATAATTTAACAAACTCACTCTCTGCCTTAAGATAAGTAGATGTCAATAGATGTTAACATTTCAATTTTTCTTTCTTACACACACACGCACACACGCACACCCCCCCCCCCCCAAGGTCCGTACTGTTCCCTGCCCCAGAGGCAGGAATTTGCTGTCTTCCTATAAGTCTGTGTTCTTGTCCTCTTACGGTGAATGTGCGCACTCTGTGCTCCGGGAAGTGGGTGCCGAGTGACTTGGGGGTGGGGGTAAGGGGCTGGGACTCTGCCTCGGCTTCATCTTCCACTCCCGCCTGTGGTCTTGCAGCTGTTCAGCGAGGTGCAGGAACGGGCCATCGAGGAGCAGATGGCGGCAGTGAAGGACGTGGTTATGGAGCCCACTATGAAGACCCTCAGTGATGACCTGGTATGTTCCCACTGAAGGCCTGGCGCCGCCGGCCCTGCACCCTTTCCCCTGGAGGAGGGGTGCCCAGCTCTGACCCCCGCCGGCCGAGGCTCTGTAGGCGGAGCCAGCGCGAGCTCCCTGCGTCTCCCATGTGCGAGCCCCACTGCGTGTGTGTGTGCGTGCACGCTCTCCAGCAGCAGCTGCTGACAACTTCTTGTTAGTCCTTTTGGACTTTTTCTAATGCACATTTTATATTCCTGTGTCTTTGGTAAAAAGCTGCCGCTGATGGCGGGCATGTGTGCTGGTCATGTTGACATTCTGCCCCCTCCCCTTTTTCTGTGCTTCGTCCTCGGCTTGCCTCTGACTGACTCTGTCTCCGGGCCTTTGACTGCAGGATGAGGCAGCGAAGGAATTCCAGGAAAAACACAAGATAGAAGTGGGGAAGCTGAAGAACATGGACCTCTCTCAGTAAGGCCTCTGCGTGGCTTGTGGGGGGTGAAGGCTCTGCCTTGGCTGTCAGGACCCTCAGGACCTTCTGCGGGCCTCTTCTGACCCCCTTCTGGGCACCGTGGCAGCCTTGCATGGCATCCTTCTAGAAGCACTCACAGCGGAAAGCTTCCTCCTTCACTATTTGCAGAATTTGGGAGGATTTTCCTCCGGCCCCTCAGGGAAGGGGGGGGATGCTGATTGATGAGCATCACTTTTAATGGCCGCTTTGTGTTTGGCTTTTGCATGTGAATTTGTTTGAAGAAAGGATTCTGCTGCCTAAAGCACAAAACCCCATGCTGTGGAACCCTCTGTGTACTAGGACTCTTGGTCCCCTTCCAGCTCCAGCCTTAAGGGTGCTGCTGGAGGTGGGCGTGAGTGACTGGGGGGCGACAGGAGGCTCCCCTGGGGGGCGGTGAGTGGGAGTCGGACTCCTGCAGGCCTGGCGGCCCCCCTTGCTGCAGCAGAGCTCAGCTGTCCGTCCGGGTCCTGCTGCACTCGTGGCCCCTTCCTCTGCCACTCACACGGAAACCGCACGCTGCGTCTGACGAGGCTGTCGTCCGCTGTCTTCTTTTAAGCCGGCTTTGACATTTCCTTTTTTTTTTTAGGTACATAATCCGTGGGGATGACGAAGAATGGAATGAAGTTTTGAACAAAGCCGGGCAGAATGCCTCCATGGTCAGCCTGAAGAGGTGAGGTGGGCCCCACGACCTCTGACCTCTGACCGGAGAGGCTTTGTGGCTTCTGTGCTTCCCTAGTGACTTTCACTAGGAGATGGGGCCCGAGGCAAAAGCTCTGAGGGACAAGTCACTGCTCTTTCCTTGGAGGGTCGCAGTTTTGGTGTCCTCTGTCCTGCAGATGAGGCGGGCCGTGGGGCTGCTGTGCGCTTCGGTGCGGTGTCCCGTTCCCCTCAGAACAACGGCGGTGGCTGTTTCAGTACCAGCGCCGCTTTAAAGATGAAGTGACCTAGGCTGGAGGGGGTTTGGTGACTTCCCAAGGAGCATCCAGCCAGTAGGAGGGGGCGCCGGGATGGGGACCAGCTGTGTCCACTGCGAGGACTGGAGTTTGACCTCTGCGTCGAGGGTTCTCCAAGGCTCAGGGCTTAGAGTTCATTAGCGTCATAAAAATTGAGGGCCCCCAAAGGCCTTTTGTTTATGTGGGTTGTATTTTTTGAGATTTCCAATATTAGAAATGAAAAACAGAAAGAAGTATTCATCCAAAATTAACAGTCATGGATTTGTTATTGATTTGTTTTAAAAACTCCCCCCACCCCCCCAAAAAAATCTTAGAGTGGCAGTCTTTTACATCTTGCAAATCGGTACTCTCTGGCTTAATGGAAGGCAGCTGGCTTATCTTCCGTATTCAGTCTGGTGCCACCACACACCTCGCAGGGGGAAGGCCGGTCAGCTGTGAGAGGACAAAAGGGAAAGGCAAACGGTGTGTTTATGTCATTAGGAAACTAGTTTCTACCTTGGGGCCCACCTGGAAGGTCCGGGGGATCCCAGGAATCTGTGGACCCTGCTTTGAAAACCATCCCCTCCGGCTGCTCTCCTGCAGAGGGGGGAGCATTTGTAGACAATGGCTCCTCGGGCCAGAACCTTCATCAGCGTTCCCTCGGGAAGAGAATGAGGTTTCCCCTGCCCTGGGCCTCTGGAGGTGAACTTCCATATCTGGTTTGGGGTTAATAGGGAGGGGAGTTCTTGGCATTGCCATAGGACAGGGTCCCTTAGAGGATGTGCTTGGAAAGACAAGTCTTGTGACTCTAGCAACTGTAGATCCCAGAAATGCCAATGTTGTCTTCCGCAGTCTGTAAGTTACTGTGGCATTTTGAAGGTTCCAGCATTGATGCCAGCCTTACTCCCCAGATGCTCCCAGATGTGGCACAAGAGCCCACTGTCATTGTGTCCTAGTTTCTGGTTTGGACAATAAGGCAGATGCGGCACAGGGCCCACGATGGCTCCAGCCTTGAGCATGGGGCTTTGACCGCAACAAAAGGCCGGGGCATGTGCTGGTGTGGGGACGGCTGGTTCCTCACTCCTCAGAGGTCGGCTTTGCCTGCCGTTTGTTTGGCTGTTACTGCTGCTGAGGAGCCTCCTGAATTCCCTGACCTTTGTGGTACTTCAGGGCTCTGAGTAAATTGTACTCTTGGAGGTAAAAAAGCAAGGCCTCACCTCAAAGAATAGGATGATAGATACCAGTGTTTTGTTTTGTTTTGTTTCCCCCAGAGGTCACTTCATTCAGATGATGTTAGTGGTCTGTGGATAGAACTGTTCGTTCTCTCCTCGTAGGGAGGTGTTTGTTTCCAGGGCAAGATGCCACTAGAGAGGATCTTTAAGCTGTAAGGGGAAGGAAGGTGGCCATTTGCTGAGTGACTCCAGTAGTGACCTGTCAGGCTCCTGCTGGCCAGCCGAGATGTGTAACCTGAGTTACTGCTCTTTAGGTTTCCCTCTCATTCAGGAAAAAGAAAATAATGCCACATCACAAAGTATTATAAGGTTTTCCTGGGAGTCTCCTGCTTTGTATTGGAGACTCTCCTCAGGGTCCTTGGGATAATATGTCTGCTTTCCTGGGTGATCCTGAGTGGTGAGCGGTGGGAGGGAATCCTCCTTGTGACTCCTGAGATTTTCCTTGAGGTCTCAGGAGTGGGGAATGAACAGCACTCCAAAGAGAACTCTGGTTTCAGGTGGTAAGAGAGAGATTTGTTCCTCTGTCTGAGGAAGAGCCTGGTCGGGGCAGGAACTGGGTCGGCATGTCTCCCCGGCCCAGTGCCTGGCATGCAGATGGGCTTGCAGAGAACATTTGTGTCTAAGGTCATTAATGTTTCCGAAGGTGGAAACCCTTTTGGACAAAGCAAAGCGAGCCTAAAGCAGAGCAGTCTGCAAGATGGTACAGATCTGCATATTTCATTTTCTTTCTCTTTCTACTCGTGGTTTTTCTGTTTTCTCTCCAGTGACAAGAAAAGGAAGCTGGAAGCCAAACAAGATCCCAAACAGAACAAAAAGCTGAAGAAAAACAGAGACGTGAAGAACAAAAAAGATCTGAAACTGAAGCGGAAGAAATAGCGTGGGCATCAGCGGGTGACGCGTACGGAGAGCGCCCCGACTTCCCGAGCTGTCTCCGGCGGGGCCCGGCGGCGGCCTGGATTGTTGAAAGCAACAGGGGCCCCCGCCAGACCCGGAAGCCGGCCAGGACTTCAGTCCATGGGCTGAGCTTGGCTTAAGGAACGCGACGGTTGGGCAAAGCTCTGGCACTGCTGAGGGCCTGTCTCCCCCCCGCACAACCGGCCCTCTCCCCCCCGTAAGTTCCCGTTTTGTTCTGGGCCCAGCTCTGTTAGCGCCGCCTCACGGGTGTGGAAGCCACGCTGACTCCCGTCTCAGGGTTAAACACGCAGCTTTCTGGTGACGCGCAGGCGGCCACTAGTGGAGCCCTGGGCCTCTCGTCGTGGCCTTGGCCGGACACCCTGAGGCCCAGGTCAGCGTGCGGCGCCCTGGGCTTTGCTCTGCCATAAACCGTCCCGCTCCTGGCTCCGCAGGCCTGCGGCCCCGTGTCCCAGAAGAGCCTGAGCTCTTAATTTAAGAAGAGGACCTCGAGTCCCCCAAATCTGTTATTTCATCTATTTGGGAAAAAGTGTTGGGCGAGACCCTTTCGCTAGCAGGGGTGAGGGAGGGCTAGAGAACCTATTTTAATAAATAACAAGCTAGAAAGAGCAACTGCCTCTGGGTGGTCATTGACTCCACGAGGGTGGAAGTTGCCCCTCTGCCTGTTTCTTCTTGCGGATCTTGGCTGCCGGGTAGAATCTGGAAGATGTTGGTGCCAAGGCCAAGGGGAGGCAGTGGCCATGCTTAACCAACCCGAAGCCTGTGGGAGAAGTGGCCGGCACCAACCGTGCTCGCTGTGGTCCTTCTGAGGGACAAGCTGTGGCACCTGGAGGCTAGCTAGCCGTGCTTTTCCCCCCACATTCCTCTCGGGAGACAGGAACTGGGGACAGAAATTATGTGGTGGCTTCACACAGACTTTGGTATGTGTGTTTGATGGTATCCCTTTGTGGTTCCCAATCCAGCACTGTGTTACTGAGCCTTGAGCCTGCGGGGCCTCTGCCGGTTTCCGTAGGATTGTTCCTTATCCCTGACCCTGGTACAAGCACAGCTCAAGGTAGAAGTCAGCTCAGTTGTGCTCTTGTTCTCATCTGTATCCCGGTGCCACGCATGGGAGCTGAGGGCAGTCCTGCACAGCTCCCTGGCTGCATCAGTCTTCAGCTTCCATGCTCGCTCTTCTTTTTATCTGGAAGATTCACATGGAGGCCTTGGTTACTGACGTTCCTTGGTTTTTCATAGAATTTAAAAGGACTGGTCTTCCATGAGTCCAAAGACCCTTTCTTCCGCATGATGTGTAATCCAGGTTCCAAGAAGTCTGACACATGGCAGGGAAGGAAGGGGAGCTTCTGGACCAAAGAGGATTAAAGGCATACTGCCCAGGACTCACACCCACAGCAAGGAGAGCAGATTCTGCCTGGACTAGGGACCCCTGCACCTTGTCCACACAGGTCTCGGGGCCTTTCGTCTCCTGGATCTAGAGGTTCCTGCCCGCAGACCCCCTGTCAGGTCTGCAGGAAGGTTTGCTGAGAGGGGCAATGAGACTAATTTTTGATCTGCTTTTTTCAGGTGAGTGCCTGAGCCTATCTTTCAAAGAGGATTTTTTTAGGAGAGAGGCTTAAAAGCAAAGTCAGAATCCCAAATGGTCACAGCTGGATGGTTTCTTAAAGCTGTCCAGCCATGTCATCCCATGGGTAGGAGGGCCCGGCCCTTGCGCTTTCGTGGCCTCTCCAGCCCCGAAGCCTGGCTTGTGCTCTGCTCCGGGATGCAGGGAGGAGGCGCCCTGAAGCCAGGCCTCTCAACCCTGCTCTGCCCCGAGTCTCCCTGTGACCTGGGGCACACCACTCACCTGCACCTGCTGTCCAGGTCGACATGTGTGAGATGCAGGTGGCAATGATCGCTCCCACCTCCTGGGCCGTTGGAGGAGTGAGTGGAGCTGAGTGTGGGGAACGGACCACGGTGCCTGGTGTGCGGCAAGGGCTCCAGAAATCTCTGTGTCACGGGGCCCGCGTCTGCATAACCAGGGGAGCTGCTCGGTGACACACAAGCGCTAGGAGTAAGACCGGCTTGTTCTAAAGCCACAGGCTGAGCTGAAGAGTCCCACTTGGGCAGCAAGAAGATGCACCTGGTGGTCAGACCTGTCGGGCTGTCAGCTTCCAACAAGGTTGTCCCTCATCTCTCTGAGGGCGCCTTCCCCTCCACACGCAAAGAGGAAGCTGCATTTGCCTACTATCTACAGTCCCGGCCCTTTTCCTGACAAAGCGTATGTTCTTAAACAGGTCTCTGCACTTCGGGGTAGTGATCTTGCGTTCTCCGAACCTGACAAAGCACACCTCCCCCAGACCTCGCCATCTGGCCCCCAGACAGAGTGACATCTGTAAAGCTAGGCTGTCTCGGGAAATGTCACTGGCAAAATGAATTCAGAAAGGCTGCCTGTGAATGCTGTCACCCGGACGGGAAGGGGCTCAAGAAGCCTGAACAAAGAAGATGCCTAAATGGGCTGCATCCCCCTGAGCCGGGACGGGGTTCCCGCCGGCCTGCTCCGGGGCTTCACCGCTCATCTGGCCCCTGCCGCCCCAGAGGACTCGAGTGACCAGGAGTTGGACACAAAGGGCTGTGGAGGCTGGGGGAGGGGAGGAAATAAGTGACCGCCACCTTGGAAAAATGTAGACTCATTATCTGAGGGTTATTACCCCAGCCGCCAGCTCAGCTCGCAGGTCTCAGTGGGCGGGTCAGGCCTCAGCCTGGGGGGAGGGGAGAGGGAGGGGATGCCCCGTTCTGTGGGCAGCTGGTTAAAGGGGAAATTGTGGATTCGGGGTGGCGGCTGGTGGTAAGGCCCGAGGCTCTCCTGTGGTGCTGTAGGTGGTTCAGCTGAGAACGTTGCCGTGGTCCTGGTGTCTGGCTGGCACTGGGAAACCAGCAGAGAGCAAAGTTAAGGGGAAGGAGGAACGGGGGCAGGAAGGCAGGCGACCCTCATGTCTGGAGAGGGTTTCCTTTGGGGACAAGGCCCAGGCTCCAGCTGCTGTCGTTGCCTGCAGGGCAGCTGTGGGAGACTGAAATCCCTCTGGTATAGAACTTGCGTTCAGCCCCTTGTTTCCCTGGGACTCCTGCGAAGGCCAAGTTCACTCCTGCCTTTGGCTGCTGAGAGCCTGAAGTGGGCAGCTGGAGGAGAAATGGACCCTGTGCTCTGGAGCAGTGGCCCTGAGGAGGAGACCCAGCCACCAGGGATAAGGTAAGGTGACCAAACACCTCCACTTCTCTTCTAGTCCCCCCAGCCCCCTTGGAAGAATCTGATTTTTTTCTAATTATTTGTTAGGTAGGCTCCATGCCCAGTAACGTGGGGCTTGAACCCACGGCCCTGCGATCAACAGTCAGACACTTAACTGAGCCACCCAGGCGCCCCTCTATTACTGAAATGCCTTCTTAGTGTGTTCTGCTACACAGAGGCTCAAAGGGGTCCCAGCCCTGCCTTACATTGCCTTCCCTTTAGCCTGCCCCGCAAAAGAGAAAACAGCTAAGCTCTCTAGGTACTTGGCTGAGGCATGTGCTACAGGGGACACAAGGAGAGCAGGGCGAGGCTTGTGGGGAGGGTGGACACAGACCCCTGAAGGGGAGCCACTGCAGACTGGCAACTGCTGGGCAGGGACAGCCCCCTGAACCAACCTCCCAGGGGCGTCCACCCAGGATGGTGCCGAGCCTTGTGCCTCCTCCCTGTGGCCCCCAGAGGGCGCCAAGCTGCCGGGCCTGGGCCCCACCCCGCAAAGCTGGGCATTGGACCTTTCCTGGGTCTACCCCAGCTACCACCCTGAGGTCTTCATGTTGTCCCCCAGCTTCTGAGTTCTGGCCTCTCAGTTACCGAACCACAGCCGCTTGGGCCAGTGTTTCTAGTGACCGGCCTCAGGTAGCAAACACTTAAAAAAAACTTTATTTCTGCCTGGATGTCGTACTTAAACTAGAACTGGTCCCAGAAGACCCTTGGGCCCAAGTCACCAGCTCACTGTCCTCTCTCCATTCCCAGGTGGCACAGACCAGCTTGGGCTCAGCTGGGCCGGAGGCAGCAGCCGCCCACCTCGCCGGGCCTCACAAGGGTTTGCAGACAACCGTTATGACAACCCCAATGGTATTTCCCACGTGAGGGCGCTGGGGGTGGCCTGGGCTCAGGGAAGATCAGAAAAGCCCCTGACAGCCATCTTACTCCTGGCAGGGGGCTCCCGTCCCTCCACACAAACACCTTTTCTGTCCTCATAAATGGCACCTAAGTGCTTAACAGAGGAGAAGAATTTTATATCTTCAGCTAGCTTGTTTGACAGGGGTAGGGTGGGGGGCGTGTGTGTGTGTGTGTGTGTATGTATATGTATGTAGGGGGAGTCCTAACCCAGCTTGGGGCTGGAGGCCTGGGTAACCAGGGAATTAGCCCTGGGTTCTCTTCCCCAGCTCTGAGCGACTCTCTAGCAAGAGTGACAAGGCCAAGGTCACTGTTAACAAGTGTTTATTGTTAATAAAACCCTGGTACATTTACAATAAGTGACATTAATGTACAGTTACAGTATCATACAATATTACAGCAATAAAATAACGCCTATTCCTTTGTACATCCAGCTCAAGGAGCTAGTCAAAAATATTTTCCAAGATTGCAAGCCCCTGGGGGCTTTTCAAGGTAACCAAAGTGACACCTCCTGAAGTGCCCAGGGCTCTTGGTGAATAAATAGTTTCTAAGGTGCAGCCAGACAGCCTGAAGATGGCGACACCCAGAACAAGCTGTCCAGATGCCACCCCAGTGTCTGGTCCGTAAATACGACAGGCGTCAGGCCTGCGGCTGGCAGGACAGGAGCCGTGGCAGGTCCTCTGCTCCCCCCACCGCCCCACCCCTTCCACCCCTGGACCCGCAGTTCCCATGAGAAGTGCCCTGCTCTAGAGACCCAGCCAGGGCAACACGGAGGCGTCTGCTTCCTGAGCCCCCAGAGGCAGCCTAACTCTAGGCTTGGGGTTTCAGGATTGGCCTCTAAAAGCAGCAGGAACAAAAGCTGAGGCCAGCAGACTGTACCCTATGCACCCCCATGCCGCCCCTGGCTCAGCCTGGAAGTCTGAGGGCGTCACCTGGGGGAACCGCCTTCTCACACTAACAGAGCAGGGGTGTGCTCCCCCAAAGGAGGGCCTCTGTAGGCCTAGACACCAAAGAAAATAGGACTATAAGTGACCCTCTGGGCAGGGATCTTCAGGCCCTCGGAGGCTCACATCACAAAGGCCTAGCCTTGAGGAAGAAGTTCAAGGATTTGGGCAGCCTTTCTGATGTGACCTTGAGGAAAAATACCAGTTTCGGCACGAAGTGGCCTGGGGCCCAGAGTGTAAGTTCTCTACCTTCATCAGGATGCCCATACCCCCAGGGGCCCCAGCTCGGACAGTCTGAGCTTGGGGAGGCCTGGGGATTGTGGGTGGTCAGAGCCTGGAATGAATGGTCAGAAGCTCTTTCAAGCAGGGGTGAATCAGGGTCAACCCTAGACCTCCAGGAGGGGAAAAGGGGCACACGAGGGTGAGTGCACCGTGGCCCTCAAGGTGCAAACAGTATGGGGTCGGGGGTGGGGGGAAGGGCCACCTTTTGGCCTTGTCTGCCC